ATCCCAAAAGAAGAAAAAGGAGCCAGTGCTGAGAGGCTGTGGCTACTAACAGGCCACCCACAAAATACAAAACTTTTGTATTTTTTACAGGATCTCCAAATGTTGCCCAGGTTGGTCCACTCCCCTCTAAACTCATATCTACTTCCCTCTGTATTTTCTAAACAATCCCCACGAGATGCCCTGCCACACTACACTCTGCCCCGTTTCTCTTCCTCCAATCTTCCAAAACGGTTACGTCTCCATCTTTGGTTACATCAATATTCAATTTAATTATTATGACTATGTAAAATATGGTTTGTGGCTGGGCATGGTGGCTCACACCTGTAATCCCAGCACTTTGGGAGGCCGAGGCAGGTGGATCACGAGGTCAGGAGTTCAAGACCAGCCTGGCCAAGAAGGTGAAATCCCGTCTCTACTGAAAACACACAAAAAAATAAGCTGGGAACAGTGGCAGGCGCCTGTAATCTCAGCTACTCAGGAGGCTGAGGCAAGAGAATCACTTGAACCTGGGGGCCGGAGGTTACAGTGAGCTGAGATTGCACCACTGCACTCCAGCCTGGGTGACAGAGTGAGACTCCATCTCAAAAAAAACATATATATACAGTTTGTTACTGGGCCAGGAAGTATTCTGGAAGCACAGGCTCTCTCATTCCACTTCATGTCTTTCATGGAAGTGGTCATTGCCACCTGGTGTCTTGTACTTGGCCTCCATGCACCCATCTCAGCCCCAAACAGAGGCCTCTCTGATGACAGCCAGTTCTGGGGGTCCCCAGCCTCCCTCACCATCAATCTAGAAGCCTGCACCCAGTAATCCTTGACTTCAGGGTGAAGATGAAACACAGCTACACAAAACAAAAATGACAATGCTGCGAGCTTCATCAGGGGCTTTTCTCCTGCCTGCAACTGAGACCAAGCAGACGTGAGAGTCTCCAGCTGGCACCTACGTGAACTCAGGGGACCGACAGCTAGAAAGATGCATCCTGTCACACATGCCCATCACATGAATAAAAACCACCCAGCCACGAGGCCACAAAACCAACCCAACAAATACCAAAGCACCATTGTCAGAAAGATCACATTCACTATTACACACAAAATTCGGTTTGCAATTAATGGCAAGATTTTTTTCGTTTTTTATTTTTATTTTTTGAGACAGGGTCTGTCACCAGGCTGGAGTGCAGTGGCACAAACAGTTCACTGCAGCCTCCACCTCCTGGGATGAAGAGACGCTCCCACCGCAGCCTCCCACGTAGCTGTGACTACAGGCGTGCGCCACAGTGCCCGGCTACTTTTCTATTTTTTGCACAGCCAAGGTCTCACTGTGTTGTTCAGGCTGGTCTCAAACTTCTGAGCTTAAGTGATCCTCTCACCTCAGCCTCCCAAAGTGCTAGGATTACAGGCGTGAGCCACCAAGCCTAGCCAACGACAGGACTTCAAAATTCATTTAGAAATTAAGATAGCATTGAAATAACTAACTGATGCATCAAAGAAGAAAACATATGGATTTTTTTTTTCTTTTTTTTTTTTTTGAGACGGAGTTTCGCTCTTGTTACCCAGGCTGGAGTGCAATGGCGCGATCTCGGCTCACCGCAACCTCCGCCTCCTGGGTTCAGGCAATTCTCCTGCCTCAGCCTCCTGAGTAGTTGGGATTACAGGCACGCGCCACCATGCCCAGCTAATTTTTTGTATTTTTAGTAGAGACGGGGTTTCACCATGTTGACCAGGATGGTCTCGATCTCTCGACCTCGTGATCCACCCGCCTCGGCCTCCCAAAGTGCTGGGATTACAGGCTTGGGCCACCGCGCCCGGCCTTGGATTTTTTTTTTTTTTTTTGGAGACAGAGGCTTGCTCTGTCACCCAGGCTGGAGAGCAGTGGCACGACCTCGGCTCACTGCAACCTCTGCCTCTCGGGTTCCAGCAATTCTCTGCCTCAGCCTCCCGAGTAGCTGGGATTACAGGTGCCCACCATCCTATCTGGCTAATTTTTGTAGTTTTAGTAGAGATGAGGTTTCACCATCTTGGCCAGGCTGGTCTTGAACTCCTGACCTCATGATCCACCTGCCTCGGCCTCCCAAAGTGCTGGGATTACAGGTGTGAGCCACAGCGCCTGATCGGATTTTGATTTTTATTTATTTTTATTTTTTGTAGAGACAGGATCTCAAAATGTTGCCCAGGCTGGTCTTGAATTTCTGCCTTCAAGCGATCCTTATGTGTTAGCCTTCCAAAGTGCTGGGATTACAGGTATGAGCCACTGTGCCTGGCCCATAATGGATTTTTTAAACTAAGAGGAAAAAGCTCACACCTAGAATCTCCCTAGAGCTAACCAGTGAATCAGTCAGAGGATACAGTCATCCCTGAGGGTCATGGAACAGCTGCCATGTTCCAGGGGTAACCTGAAGAGAATGGGACTTTCCAGAAGGCCCAGTGGGAGGACCTGCAGCAAGCCTCAAGGCACGGGAGGCGAGATGCCAAATTCTCACAAAGCCACTACTGAAAGCTTTGTGCAGAAAGACGAAACTTAAATAAACTTTTGAAATACACACCTATGCTCAAAAAATGTTAAGGGTTACAGCATATCAGTTAGACCGAGTCACAGCCCCATCAGCTTCAACCTGCTGGTACTCACCTGCAGACTCTGAGGCCTCCTGACTGCCCTCTTCCTCCCCCTTCTCCTGCCAATGCTGTCTCCTGAGGGTCTGTGGCCACCGGCTCTGCAAGCCCCCTTGACCCAGGGCTTGCCTGCATAATGCTCTCAGCCTCCAGGGCCTGCAGTCTCTCTCCATCCTCATCCTGGGCCCCTCGCCCCACCTCATGGTGGCTTCCTCACCAGGGCCAGGTGGTCTTTACCTGGTTGTCAGGGTGTCCTTTCTCCCCTCTGCCTCTCCTCAGAAAGGGCTGCCTACCTAGAGCTGGCCTGCGTGGTTGCCATCTCAGCCCCCGCCTGCTACGCTGACAGTGGCAGCACCTCACCCGTTTGTCCTCCTGCCGCCGCCTGCTGGCCTTGCTCTGGTGCTGGTTCACCACAGAGGCCTTGGGGCCAGCCTAGCACAGAGGCCATGGTGGTCCCATAACATGTTCATGGGTGAAGGAACACAGTCAAAGAGTAACAAACAGGAAACAACACACAGCACGTTCCCCAGAGCCATCTAGGGACTTGGCATTTGAGAAAACACAGCACCTTAGAGACACTGTCAGGCAATAATTTCGTGGAGGAGGCAGACAAAACCTGAGGTCCAAGGGCACCCGTCAACCTGGCTGCACCTGCCGACTCGGCAGGCCCCAGCCAAGGTGTGAATTCTCCTACACGTGCAGGAAGGAGGGAAAGAGCCTGCCACCATCACCACTACACCAACTGGCCAAAGATGAGGAAATGACGCCTATGCAGAGCTTCAGAGCTTGACTTAAGATGGACAGTGTATAGGGAATGGTGAGAGTGAAACAGCACGGCCTCTGTGAAGAACAGCTGGCAGTATTAAAAGAAACCGAGTTTACACTCAGTACATGACCAGCCATCCCACTCCTAGATACAGGCCCCAAGGACTGGAAGACACGCGTCTACACAAAGACTTGTACACAAACGTGCCCATCACCAGGATAATACAGAAACAAAATTCAGTACAAGCACACAGTGGACACTACTCCATACTGGACCACAGAGTCCAAAACATGCAAACCACATGGGAGAAATCTCAGAGATGCGGTGCTGAGGACAGAAGCCAAGTGAGGGCATGCAAGTCCTCAAGACAGCAGAAACTGTCCGGGCGCGGTTGCTCACGTCTGTCATCCCAGCAGTTTGGGAGGCTAAGGCGGGTGAATCACCTGAGGTCAGGAGTTCAAGACCAGCCCCGCCAACATGGTGAAACCCCGTCTCTACTAAAAATACAAAAATTAGCTGGGTGTGGTGGTGGGTGCCTGTAATCCCAGCTACTCGGGAGGCTGAGGCAGGAGAATCACTTGAACCTGGGAGTGGAAGTTGCAGTGAGCTGAGATGGGGCCATTGCCCTCCAGACTGGGCGACAACAGTGAAACTCAGTCTCAAAAAAAAAAAGAAAAAGAGAGAGACAAAACTAATCCAAGATGACAGAAACCAGCATCAGTGCCAGCAGGAAGGAAGGCACTGTCGGAAGGCAAGGGGTATGCAGGACCCACGTGGGGATAGTGATATGCATGACAGGCTCTGCACTGCCAGGCACAGGACTCCGTCAGAGCTCACAGAGGAGCA